CCAAACCAATTGATAAATGAGTCCTAAAACACTCATCTGTGCTGAGCAAGGACAGGAGAGAGGGTGGCCCCATCCTGTGTCTTTATCTGTTCTTTTCATTGCTTTAACATTTTCTTTATACCCATATGTCCACACACAAAAATATTATTAATATCTAACCCTTACATAAAACTTCCCGTATTTTCAGGCATAGTTCTAAGTGCTTTGTGTGTATTATTCATTTAACCCTCACAACAACAATCCAATAAAGTAATCAGTTTTACAGATGAGGAAACTGAGGCACAGGGAGTTAAGTAATTTGCCCCAGAAAGTCTGACGCCAAAACCTTGTCTTAACTACCAAGTCAGGCCAGAGAGGAGACAGAGAGGCAGAGACAGAGACCCAGAGATTTTGTTATACATAGTGAGATTTTGTTATACATAGTAAGATTTTATATACGAGATGAGAGTTTATATTTACCATATACAATTTTACTTAATTGTATAAATGAGATCATATATATTTGTTTTAATGCGTTGTTTTCCTTTTACATTTTTTCCTCTCCTATCCATATTAGTTTCTCCCCCCATGGAATCCATTATATCACCCTAATGTGGAATCTTCTATATTTTTTATTTAGTCACAATTATACATGGATGTATATAGACCTATAATCACACATACAAGGTTTCTTTTTGTCATTATTTTAAAATAGTGGACCATATTAAATAGACATTTCTGCATTTCACTTTTCTCACTTGTATATGTGGAAGGCCCTGACAGATCTAATTCAGTGTTGTGTTATTTTTATTTTTATTTTGGGGGGCTGCTGGCCAGTAACAGTGATTCAACCCTGGATTTTGGTGTTATCAACACGCTCTAACCAACTGAGCTAATGGGCCAGCCTATTCAGTGTTTTAAATAGCCACACACCCACCATATTTTTCCATCTGGCCCTCCCTACTCATGGTCCCATCCCCACCCCCAAGGCACTCGTTTCTTTTTTCTTTTTTTTTTTTTAAAGATGACTGGTAAGGGGATCTTAACCTTTGGCTTGGTGTTGTCAGCACCACGCTCACCCAGTGAGCGAACCGGCCATCCCTATATGGGATCCGAACCCATGGCCTTGGTGTTATCAGCACCGCACTCTCCCAAGTGAGCCACAGGCCGGCCCTAGCACTTGTTTCTTTAATCTGATTGTTAGGGAGTCCCATGGTGGAAATCCCAGTCCAGGTGGGAGGAAAGGGCAGTGAGTAGGCAGCAAGAGGCATTTCTGGCTGGGTTTTGGCCAACCCCTTGCTGGGTGGCCAAGAGCCCTCAACCACCAGAGGTGGAAATGCTGATTGTGTTATTGTGAAATCATTTGCATATTGTGAAGTGCTTTGCATACGAGGTGATGGAGTGATTTGCATATAGGGAGGGGGACATCTTAGAGGGGCAGCATCCCTGAGCATCTTTCTCCCTTTTTTTTGGCAGCTGCCCACTACCAGGATCCAAACCCTTAAATTTGGTGTTATAACACTGTGCTCTAACCAACTGAGCTAACCGGCCAGCCCTGTCTTTCTCCCTTTGTAAAGAAATGGGGCTTCCACTTCAGAACTCAGGGAGGGGACAGGGGGACGTCCTGGCAGATCTATGGGCTGGAGGGGTTAGGTAGACAGGAAGCTTTCAGAGGACAAGCTGGCCCACCTGGAAGGAGCTGGGGGTCCGGGAAGGACAGATAGTGGAGTATGAGGTGGGACAGGCACCAGATGCAGCATGAGAGCTGAGGGTGCCCTCAGAGCCCCCAGTACTGAGGAAAAGGACACAGAACAAATGAAGGGAGCTGCCATAGGAGGCTGCTGAGGGTCAGGGATAGAGATCCCCACTCTGCTGCAATCTCTGCCTAAGTGACTACCCACATGTCCTTCCTGAGAGTGCCAGGCCAGACTCCCACTGCTGTTCAAGGCCTAGAAGTGAGAGGTGGTATCACACACTCTGGGCTCAGGGGCACATAGGTTTGAATCCTCGCTCTGCCATCTGTGCCATTGTGTGACCCTGAGCTAACAGTACCCATCTCAATGGGATAAAACAAGGATTCAGTGAGATCATGTAAGTAGAGTGAATGGCACATAGTAGGAGTTCAGTAAATTGCAGTTATAATAATAATTGCTATTAACTGTTCGCTGCCCTACTCTGAAAGAAGGGGTCAGGCCTATCTTCCTCTAGGTGAGGGGAGCACTGACCCCTCACCTCCCAGGTTCGGAATTCCGAGCAGGGCGGTCCAGTCACTATGCATTGGACCCCAAAGGGTTACAAGTCCTGGAGACAATGGCCTGAGGTTCCCAGTGAAAAACCAAAGCATAAAAATAATTCGATGAGTAAGAATAAAATTCCCTCTTCTGAGGTTCCCGGGGCCAGGCCCCTCCCTGCGGCAGGCACTTCCCCTTTCCCTTGTTCATGGAGGAGCCAGGCCAGGGTGACTCAGAGCAGGAGCGCCACAGCCGCGTTCCCATCTT